CGCCGCAGCCAGGCATGGTGCGGGCGCTGGGCGAAGCAGGGCGCGTGGGGAGGTGGTGGTGGGGCAGAGCGCAGTGGCACTGCCCGACAGCTGAGCGTGGAGACACAACTTCAGCTCGCCGCGGATTGCCGAGCGCTGGGGCCTGCTGCGGTGGGATTGCCCAGGAAAGGTGCACGCAGTCCGTGGCTTGTGTTGTGGCACTGGTTGTCAGAACAGATGTGTTCCACGCAGATGTTTGCCTTACACTCATGCTTAAGTTTTGTTCCCACAATCCCGTTTTTCCTGTAGAAGCAGTTGTCCCAGAACTGTGTGGAGTAACGTGTTCCTTTGTGTGTGGTCAGGTAGCAGTGCTCTTTATTACTCTCATATTTAGCTTGGAGAACTCCTTCAGTCTGCATGGCAGCCACATTAGGTTCTGTCTGTAGCACTTTGAAGAATGCTTTTGAGAATAAATGATGCTGCTTGTTAAACCTTCTTTTTCCCTTGTGGTGTCTGCTAGCGTTGTGACTTGTATAGCTGAATCAGTCCATTTTTGTGGCTACCAAAGCATGCAGTTTTAATTTACTGCTAAGTGGGACTCACGGAGTCTGTCCAGGCTGTCGGTGGTGTCTGAGCTGTTTGCCATCTGCAGAAGTCAGAATGGGCATTGTCTGTCAACACACTGTGCCTTGGTTGCCTGAAGCTTGGAGTGAGTGCACAGTCTGTATAATTAGAGCCACTTCAGTTGTGATGATTGAGTCCTTTTGTTCTTGGAATTCTAGAAATGAGCTCTAGCCCTGGCCTGGTTGGGAAAATGAGTGCTGCCTGCTAAGGCAGAAATGGAAAATTACTACTTTTTTTGTGCTTTTTTTGTACATTTCCTCTAACATTCAGTGAACTGTTTTAATATAGATGTTGGCTTAGGTGAAGAAACTTACGCTGTGCCTTGTATAAATGCATTAATGCATTAAAAACAGTAGGCTCCTGCTGTTTACATGGTAACCCTTGGGAGGGACTGGGAAATGCAGATGGTTGCCTGTACAACAGAGCTGAAGAGATTTGTCTCAGTGTTGTAGTAAATCAGGCACATTTCCACTAGACCATGCTGGCTCCAGTGTACAGTAAGAGGTGAATTCTCCCTGGTGTTAAAATCTAACTAGAGCAACTTCTGTCACTTGGTTGTTCAGTGAAAATGTATTGGTTGGAATGTGTGTATGTGATGCAGTTGTGAAATCCATGGCTTGCTGTGTAGCTGAAATATAAGAGGATGAGGCCTTGAGCAAGCTGGTCTAGTGAGGAGGTGTCCCTGCCCAAGGCAGGATTGGGACTAGATGATCTGTAAGGTCCATTCCAGCCCCTAAAATTCTATGATTCAACCTTCAGGTGTGGACACAGAGTATGCGCAGACGAGGAGCTGTTTATAATTAAGTTGTAGCAATATATTGATTCCATCTTCAATGTTTTGAGGAAGCTTTGCTTTCTTGTTGCTTTTGAGACCGTGAAGGACTTTGGTTTGTTTGTTTGATATAGGATGGATGCAACTCTGAAAGAGCTGACCAGCCTGGTGAAAGAAGTTTACCCAGAAGCACGGAAGAAGGGCACACACTTCAATTTTGCCATTGTTTTTACAGATCTCAAGAGGCCTGGCTATAGGTAAGTGGCATTTCTTCTCTGGGTTATAGAAGACTTTGGGCCCCAAGCAGTAAATTGTTCTTCATTAACACTGATTTTAAAGTTCAGAACCCACATACCAAATTTGTGAAGTTCTTGGTGACAGACTATATGATGAACACTACAAACTCTTAAGTGTTGCTTGGTAACTGTCACTGCTAATGTGTTCCCAAAACAATGAACCTATGTGCTTGAAGGCTTTGATTGCTGTGTTGGCAACCAGCCATGGACCTCCAGCTTGAGAGAACACTCTGTTCCTGGCAGGTCTTGCACCTGAGTTATAGCAGTGATCTTGTTGCAGGTGTCTGTCTATGAAAATGGCATGAGCTAAACTTCTTCAGCATCCAGTGGCTATATCCTGCTCTGGAATCCCTGGGGTCTTGTGCCATGTCTGCATGGAAGGGAGCAAGGGGTTCTCACTAGTATATACCTTAATAAGGTAGAAGGTTCCCCCACCCTCTGCCCTATCCAAAAGAGGATTCGGTGTAGCTTTTCTTGGCATGTGTGGTCCTGCAGAGAGAAGCCCTAGTGCCTCGTGCACGTAGCGAAATGGCAGGCACAGTGCAGAGGTGGCATGGGAAGGGGGTTATGGGCTGACACGGGTCCTGTATTGGACATCTGGAGAGATTTGCCACTGATAACTTACTTGCCTTTCCTCTGCTGCTCACAGGGTGAAGGAGATTGGCAGTACCATGTCGGGCAGGAAGGGCACAGATGATTCCATGACGTTGCAGTCTCAGAAATTCCAGATAGGAGACTACTTGGATATAGCAATCACTCCCCCGAACCGCGCACCGCCCCCGTCGAGCCGCATGAGACCTTACTAAACTACTGCTCTTTTTATGACTACGTATCCTGTTTATTCCTACTTGCTGTTCTAAAGCAGGCTTATTTTTTTGCTTTTGTTGCTAAGCACCTGCAGGCAAAGCTAAGCATCAGAAATAGAAGTTAACTCTTAAACCTTAACTTTTAGTTTATTGTTTTAGAAGCCCCATTATCCTATTCCTGATAGTTATAGTTGGGATAGTAAGTCAGTGTGTCCAGTGTTTCAAGACTTCCATAAAATTTGACCAGGAGGATTACAGGTATTCTGTTGTTCTGTCTTGTTTGGAATAAAGGTTGATGGTAATCTTTTGATTGTGTGGTGGTGTATTGAGGCTCAAGGCTGTTCTGTGTTAAAGGTTACTGATGAAGCTGGGGGGTGTGGAGTGTGCTCAGCGCTCAGCTTCCAGACTCTGAAAATGGAGGAAGGGGTAGCTAAGGGGTCCCAGTTGTGCACGGGGAACTGGAAGGCTAGTCTGTGTGGCATTGCCTGGTACCTTACTAGGGTGCAGGAGAAAGAAGGGGTGATCCCTCCCAGCAGTGCAGGAGGATGGGGCTTTTAGCTCAGGGCTTGCGTTTCTTCAGTCGCTGCAGGGGGAGATGTTGAGACACGCAGGTGCCTCTGATCTCACCGCAGGGTTCTGCTGTTCCCTGGCTGACGAGGAACATCCAGCTGCGTGGAGCCAGGCACTGCGTTCCTGCGTGTTGAGCCCCTGTGTGCTCAGAGAAAGGCAACAGCAAGGAGTAGAAGCTGTAGCTACTCCTTAGAGCTTTCACCTTCCTCATCTAAGGCCTGAGCAGAGGCTAAGACTGAAGCATTCCTGTCTGCTGAGGACAAGGCGTGCTTTGTGTCATGAGCTGGGAGATATTTGTATATATATTTTTTGATTATTTTAATTTTTTCTCTCAGGAGTCTCTCATTGCAGTGTAGCCTGAGGGATTTTAGGTTCAGTTCTGCCCATGGTTTACCCTCCTCTGTCTCCCTTCTTTGGCTTGAGTTAGGGAGTTGCAATTTGAGCCTTCATGAGTGTGTCGTTTGCAGAATCACCTGCGTCTGAGCCATTTTTCTGCATAAGACTGAAATGTGCTCCTCACACTTTTAAAAAAAAGAGAGCTCATGGAATAAAAGACACTATAAATGCTCCTTATAAAGGCCTCTGAGCCTGGAAGTGTCAGTGGAGCTGCTTTAGTGTTGCCAGAGTTGGGATGGGTGGGATGTTTTGCCCAGGTGAAGGCTCGCACCTCTAGTGCGAGAGAGAGGTGCTCCATGATACAGCTGCTGTGAGGAACCCACGGGTCAGAACAGCTCAGTGGCTTCTGTGTCAGCAGGGGCAGGTGTGAGACCCCTGCCACCTATGTGCTGGGTCCTGACCATATATATGATCAGCTTTGGTTTTTGGCACCTTACAGACCTGGACATACAGAAAAGCAAAGATCCCTGCTAAGTGGCCTCACCGATTGCCAACAGGGCATCATCTGTCCTGCAAATTGAGTGAGGCGAGTCCTGCACTAACCAGCATGTAATTACAGAATTGCACAGCTCCCACCAAAGACAAGGACAGACCTGACATTAGAGGTGCACAGGAATATGGGCATTTCCTCATTTTTCTGTCCTGGTTTTTGCTTTAATAAGGATAATTCTCAAATGTAGTCACTATATAAGGCAACAGCAGCAAGTGAGCCTGGGTCTGTGACTCAGCTGCTCAGCTTTGCTGCTGGAACAGGAGACACGGCCCGGGGAGGGCCTGTGCCTGCCCAGCCTGGCAGAGGAGAAGAACATCTACTGGCTTTATATGGGGTGACCCATGAAGTAAAATCACCAGGAAATGAACATGCAGAACTGCCTTCAGTAGCAGATACTTCAGCTTGACTAGGTGAGGAGTTCACCTTCCCTTAACTGCCGAATGTATAAACCTCAAATGATCTATTCCTTGGCTGCTTTGGGATCAACATCTCTTGAGAAAGAGATTTGCCCTCAAACATCTGCACTTCACACAGAAAGGTAATGGAGAAGTGAAGAGAGTCCAACCTTTTGTACCTATTGTTATAGGAAAAGACACTCGACAGATCAGTGTGGCTCAGGTTAGGGGTTCCCTACGTCAAAAATCCACTGTGCAATCAAGGCCATGGGCAGCAGCTGTGAAAGCAGACAGGCCAGGCTTCAGCCATCCAGATGTGGCAAGAGGTGAACAGGAAGGGAAAATTGTCACCTGCTGAGCTCCTACTGCACAGGAGAGAATTCACAGTAGCAAGGTTTTGTTTGTCTCTTTCAAAGCTACTATAAAAATTGAGGAGGGATGTCAGTCTGTCAAAAGAGCAAAGTATGTAGAGCACTGTGGTTTGGGGAAATTAAAACATGGTCTCAAAATTACTCAACAGTGAGTAATCCCATATTCTCAGGAAGTGGTGTAGACAATACTACAACTGGATTTGTCACAAGGACTTGCTCTATATGCAGCAATTTGATGAATTTTTGTCCCTCATCAAAGCAGCTGGATGAGAGGGCTTTTTTTTCCCCTTTTCATTTTGGATGCTTAAAGCCTTAACAGACACAGTTCTGCTTCCTGTCTGTACCAGCAACCACCTCTCCAAAGCTTTTATCTCCCAGCTGCATAAGGCAAGGAACTAGGATGACAGCTTTCAGAGGAAGGTTTCCTGACTTTGACATTTCTTAGAGGTAAATCCCATGCACAGCAGCACAGACAGCTCTCACCTCCTGTCCAGGCCCTTCCAGGGATACCATACCTACCCCCACTTCCTTCCCTTGCAGGTGTCCCTCCAGGCATCACCTTGTCCCTGTCCTTCCTTGGAGGGTAGTTTGTCTCTTAACTGGTGACAAGCACCTGGGCCACTCCTGCAGGTCTCCAGCCCCTGTGATCCCTGGCCCCTCCAGTTGCAGTAGCAAACGTGGTGAGCTGGGCTCCCTGGTAGGGCTAGGACAAACACCCACATCCTGACCCACAGGGGGTCAAATGGACCCAGCTACAGAACTGAGGCAACTTCCCCTCATTTCTTCTTCTTACCCTCAGTAGCAGCTACTGTGGGTTGCTCTGCTCCCATAAATGGGATTTCATGTTTCACTTCCTTCTGAAGTACCTTTCCTGCTTGTCTTGAAGGACACTGCATTATTTCCTCAAGCAACTTGGTTCTTGGAACTAAATTTTTTTCCTTCATTTTATCCACCTAAACCAATGCTTTTTTTTTCCACTTTAATAAACAGAACAAAAAGGTTTGTCAAAAATGCTAATTTTTTTCCACACCAAGAAACCCAATGTTACCTCATTACACCTTACACAAACATTGCTGCTTCTGTTGATATTTAGCCAGGCTTTCATTTAGCATGGGGAAGAATGGATTCCTCTTCCACATGCTCAGGCCTTAAATTAAGGGCTCTGTTTTCACAGTCCCCTTCTGATTTCACCACCCCTCCAATATACAGGTTTATACATGTGTGTATACAGACACATGCATGTATGTACAGGAACAGAGACTACAGCCTCAGAGGAGCAGCTGTGTCCTTCCCTGCAGTGGCAGCACGACCCTCATAGTTCTTCTGCAGTGCTTTTGGGAGAGGCTGCTGCATCTCTGGTGGAGAACTGGTATGGGGTGAATTCCCTCCCTATTTAAGGAGTGAGGAGACACACACACACACACTTACTTTGTCAATAACCTGGGCAGTATCAGACACACTCCTCCCTCTGGTACCATGTTCACCATCCGACTGGAGCAGTTGTGTAGACTTAATTTTTATATCTCTGGTCAAATGCAGAAAGGGACATAATGCAGCAGGAAAATATTAAGCATTATCAGCAAGTTCTCACTGCTGCAATGAAAAGCATGAAAAAAATGAGGAGACCTTCAAAACCCTGTTGTGTCAGAGCAAATGAATGACAACAGCTATGATTGTGTTTTAAAGAAGAGTACTGTAATTAATGCAGCAGCTAAGGTGTGACCTGTCAAAACCAAAGCAATCCAGTCACCTGTTGGTGTTGTCTCAGCCCTTATGTCTAGACCTTACAGCAGATCAGTTAGGTTAAAAAAAAAGGTATCAGTTCTGTCTGAGGAATGTGCTTCATAGAACATCCATGTGTTGTCATGACAGGCTGTGCCTGGCCACAAGGACCTGCTGGTGATGAGGAGGAGGTGCCAGGGTGTTCAGAACCCTTTCTGGTGTATTTCCAGTCTCACAGAACTGACAAGCTTAAGTAGACACATCTTGGCCCAAAAAGTCACTTGACCTCTTCAATACTCAGCAAGAAAATCCACTGCACTCTGCAAGTGACAGCTTTGAGGGCTCCTCTGGCTGAGGTGTGGATTCCCAACACAGTGCTTCAGGCAAACACAAGTGTAAGTGTCTTCAGACTTAAGAAACATGGGAGTCTTTAACAGGGGCCAGAAAATGCACCTGGCCCAGGCTTTAGAGGACAGGAGGGGAGAGCCCAACAGTGGCTCCAGGTAGGACATTTGAGGAACAGCACCAGGCACACAGCAGTCCCACAGCAGTCCCACAGCATCACCCCCATTACCTGCCTGCTCAGCTGGGGCTGCATAGAGCCCTAGCCTGGGACTTGATGGCAAAGATGCCACACTCCTGCTGCATCTGGCTTAACAACTGCCCTGGCGAGCAGGAGGCTTATGCTTGAAAGAAAGAAGGGAAGCACATGCATCTAGAAGTATTACAGGTTTGAAATACTATCACAGAAGCCTGCATGGCCAGAAACGAACCACACCACTCTGCATGGATAGGGCCCTCCTGCAAGGGTGAGGTCTGTCCTAGCAGCTCTGTTCCATCCAGCCTAATTCATGCACAACCACCCAAGCAGCTGTCCAGGGGAGGGGGAAGGGGAATTTGTGAGAAGGAATGGTGGGTGCTGGGGTGAAGAAGAGGAGTTGCCACCAAAGTGCTCATGGAGCAACCACCTTAGCCGTCCTTCCCAGAGCAGCCAGCCAGCCAGGTTATGATTCACCCAGCTGGTGAAGGAAGATGTCCTGGATCCCACTCCCCCATCCTTTCCCTTCTCATACCTCAACAGCCATCAGTGCCTTTGCAGGTCACCAGTGATTTGGGTCAACACACAGTCCATAAACAATTTAACCTTGGAAAACAATAATCAGTTCCTGGTGGTTGGGCAAGCAGAAATGGATTCCCCTGCAGCTACAACTGCAGTGACGCAACCCACAACCTACGGCATGGGAGCTGCAGCCGGGGAGGAAAGGCAGGAGCACGCAGCAAGGCAGTGGCTGCATAAGCAATCATTAGGGAATGTAACTGCAGGGCTTCAAACCAGGAATACATTATACCAAAAATTATGGGAGTATTTGAACACCTCCCTGATGGGTATTCTGGCAACTATGCCTTGCTTGGTCTCTCTCCATGAGCAACACCTGTGTAACACAGAATCTTCTGCCATGGACCATTTCTCATGCATATACATTTGTGCTACTTTTTTTTTAAACTCTTCAACTTGAATTAGACAAGATCTAATTTACAGATCTGGTCAGCTCCCTGCACCTTTGTAAAAGGTATTGCTGTAAGAACAGCTCGTCAACCAATGCACTGCTGATGGACTTGTATTCCTGTGGACTAACACAGATGTGATTCCATAGTGTGGCCACTGGATGTTGTCATTGTTCCTTATAAATGCCACAATCTCTGCATTACTGTCCCATGAAGAAACAAGGTACTTTCAAAACAGAAGGCAGATCCCACACCAGCTACAGCAGCTGATACAGTACATGCAACCACCATGAGTGCTGGGACATGCAGTAACAAGAGGAAACAAAGCAAACATCACATCTTACCGGAAATCTAAAGCATCCACGGTGCTTTAAATAACCAAGGAAGCTCGGACTCCAGTTATTGCTCCAGTGATTAATAAAAACATCAAGAAAAGCACAATGTGAGGCACTAAAAGTGATGCTTGCCAATTATCCCTTCGACAACCATCTGGGAAGTCTCATTCACACTGAGATCTCATTCACACTGAGATCCCTGTGGATGTTTAACCTCAGGCAAAGTATTTCCCAGATAAGAAAGCACTGACAACCCTTAAGCTGCTTCCTAGGCAGAACAGTTGAGATGCTCCTTGGACAACAAATGGGATTATGGAGAGAAGCTTCTGTTTGCTGACACATTTGATGCACTTTAAAAATAAATGAAAAAATATTAAGAACCACAGCAAATGAAGCAAAACTGAAGGCTATGCTTTTTTTGGTTACTTCCCAGATGTCCTGCAATACTCAAGTGCAGTTTTGTGCCGGGGTCAACCTTTTCTGACAGCAGGCTACTACTAGAAGATGCGATCCTGTCCTCACCCTCCCCTTGCATCTGATCTAGCGCTCACATGGGCAGAAGCTGAGGTTGAGATTAATTTAGTTTTCTCTTTTAGTTTCCCAAAGGTAATTAGCCTTTCAGTGGCTTAGCAAATGGAAGAAATCCACTGTAAAACTGCACAACCCCTAGACTCTGTGCAAGAGAATTGGTAAAACAGCCTCTAGTGAAAGTAGCCCCTAGTTAAATTAAATAAAGCACAACACAGAACCATACTCTGAGTCAATTTTCCCTGTTTTTCAGGTGATGACTGTTACAGAACCCCTGCATTTGCTACTTAGCTACTGTTTATCCAAACTGGACTTTCTGACAGGCCAATGCACCTATAAGACTCACCCCACAACAAACCAAGGTGTACATTCTAAGTAAGTTCTTTTGCATCATTCCCACTCTGATGTGTTGTGCAGCAGGATGAGTCTTTCTCCAGCAGCAATACTGCTCCCTCCTCCAGCCCCAAGGCTACATCCTTGGTTGTTCCAGTACATCAGACCACCACACAGCCACCTGTGTGAGAGAACTGATCTGAGCAGGAAAAAACAAAAAGACAAAACAAAACAGTAAGCTTTCCCTCCCCCGAGCTTCTTTTGAACACCGATCAGTTTCCAACAGTCTCAGAATGGCTGGGGTTGGAAGGGACCTGTGGAGATCATCTAGCCCCACACCCCTGCTACAGCAGGTCATACAGGATTGCATCCAGGTGCGTTGTGAATATCTGCAGAGGAGACTCCACAGCCTCTCTGGGCAGCCTGTTCCACTGCTTATGTTTCCTTTTTGTCATATCTTTCCCCCACCCCCAATACTCAAACTACTCCTTAGGCCTTCCTGAAACCTAGAAGGTTTTCAAAGGTAAAGTGACACAAACTAAAACTAGTTTTTGTTTGGCTGCTCTGATTATATCTACCTCAGAGCAATGCTCCTCCTACAGAAAAAGAATGTAAATACAAACTATAGTATTATGTGTATTAGGTCAGCATTGTAGGCAGGAAAAACAAAACCAGCTAGGAAAACATCATTTCTAGATTCCAAAAGTCTCATGCCTGTATCACGTCATAACAGCTTGACTAGACCAGAAGATTCTAACACTTCAATTATCATATTGCAGATAATTTGCATCTCTAAATGTTAATTGAATCCCTTTCATATTAGTTAACGAAATAGCTATGAAATGTAGCATCTGGCAAGGAAAATGATGCAAGTGGCTTACAGTGAGAACCACAGCACTGGTACAACTCTGTGTTTCCCAAACAGAGGAAAGGATGGTGGAGTGCTGAGATGTTCTCAAGTTTAGGGAAAACACACTTATAAGCCCTTTTGTGACTTTCATTAGTTGAAGGCAGGGGGAATACAGCAAAGTCTGGGACAGTTGTGCTGCTTGTTCCATTGGATGTTAAATGGAGTCTTTCAGGATACCTGGCTTGCTTCAGGGCAAGAAAGCAGCCATGAAGTGCCGTGGAGGGAGAATGCGGGCTGTGAAATCCCTGCTGTTCCATGCCGGTAAATCTGTCTGGCTGAAAGACTCTTGTTCTGCAGCAGAATACTTTGTACCTTTCTAAGGCCACAAAATTCCAGGACTAGCATCCACCCCTCAATGTGGTTTTAATCTATGAAGATGCTGGAAGCTGGTTTGGTCTCCACTCTCTGAAGGAGTTGAGTAGAACAAAAAATTGTTTTTATAGCAGCCACCAAGGATCCAAGACAGATTTATTTAGTATCTAAAAGTGTTAAATTAATCAAACTCACAGACTGATACATCACACATTCTTTATAATAGAAATTAGCATTTAAAATGACAGTGTGCTCAGGTCAGAACTAATAGAAAAATCACCTTCTCCAGTTGGTTTTATGTATGTTTATCCTAGAGAATTACTATAATAGCAGGAAAAAGGCACTTCTACTTGCTAAGTTTTCTCCAGGACAAGTCTGTCTAAGCAACCCGAGAAATACTTCTGGACATCTCTAGATGTTTACATACCCTGAGGACTTTGAGAAAAAAAAAGGTGGAGCTGAGCTCAGAAAAACATACACTTATCCCCATCTCCTGGGACAGTCTCTCCCTTCTCATGTGTTTCATGCTTGCCCTCACATAAATGACAGAATTTCAGCCATCCACAGGAAGACAACAACTATTAAGAGCAGCCCTAGAATCAGAGGCATAGCCAACACTGCCAACAGCAAACTGGCTGCAAACAAGGATATGTAGCTGTGTTTTCTTGAGGACAACAGTAAAACAGCCTATGCAATAAACAACTCAAGTACTACCTCATACATGAATCTCCATTCCTCTTTGTAACAGAATAAAAGCCCCTAAAACATTTTGGCAATAATTACAATGGAAAATTAAGTACAAATTGCTACTTCAAACAAATTTATCCACATCATGGAAAAAGAATTTGTCTCCATTAAAAACCTTTTTTTGGGTATGGCTCCTTCTTCCCACCAGTATTTCCTTCTGCTTTTTGAACTTGTTATTATTCAGTGATAAGATCCATGAATATGGAACAATCCTAACACGGTCTTCAGCTTGATTTCAGATGTTTGGCTTGAAAACTCCATGATATCCTCTGCAAATATATCCAGATGAGCTTATTTCAATCATATTTTCAAATAGCAGAAGACACAAATATTGAAAACATGTCATTTTTATCTTGACAACAAAAAAATGAAGGGTCAGCTAAAGTGAGAGCTTTGCTGTACTTGACTACTTAAATGGATTCCAACTCCCAAGTATAGTAAGATAACTATTATCAGTCTCATTCTGGGTTGTGGTGACTATTATTTGACTATCTATACATGTTCCTTGTACCTCTTACCTAAATTATCATAATACATATTACACTGAATCAGGAATACCTATACTTAATAAAGTTGTCATAAAAACTTCTTTCTATTCAAAATGATGGAATTTTTCATAAAGCTAATATTGCATTGTTCAAACACTACTGTTATTGCAGCTTTGCAATTCAAATCTTTCTTTGCCAAAATAACCTGAAATCTGTTGTTACTTATTCTCCAAATTCCTTAGTTTTAGTGCCTACATTTACACAGAAGAAAGCATTCGCTGGTGCTTTGACTTCCATGAAGCAAAATATACCTGCAGATAAATGGCTAAAACTCTACCTTCCCCTTTGTGGTTTTTTCGAGTTGGGAGGATTCAAACACACAATCCATTATCACATTTGCTCTTTACAAACAGGCAGTCAGGTACCATGCCAAAAGCCACTTCAGTCACAGAAGCAAGAGCAATTCTGGCAGCTGAAGAGCAAGCAGCTGTGTGAATTCCTAAATGCATTAAAGCATCTTCGTAGCTTCTCCACATAAAATTACTTAACCAAATCTGGAAAATGTAATCATACCTGTTCTCTTTGTTGCAGTAATCAGTGGAACCTTTGTCATATCTTGTAGGATTTCCTGCCCTGGTCTCCATTTCCTTGGGTTTAGAAGAGTCTGCCTTATGGTCATACTTGGACAGAATCTACAGGAAGCATTAAAAGGGAAAAAAAGAATTATCCAAGAACTCAAAGGACAGATTACAGCTATAACTAAGCCTCTTTAGTTTTACTATTTTGATAGTAAAATTATTTAGGTAAAATTATTTAGGTATCAGCTAACCTGTAGAACATCATCTGGTATCTTTGTTATTTTGGGAGCTGGAGGAGTATTGAGTAACTGATCACAGAGTTTTATTTGGGGAGGAGAAAGGTCTCCCAGATGTTTCAGATACTCATCAGAGCTCTCAGCAAAAGGAATGCTGTCTTCTTTGTCTTGCTTATCTTTTGCATCATTCTTTGTCACTGACTCAACCTTTTCCTCCTGCTTTACTGGCTCCTGCAAAAGAGGTATTAAAGGCCTTCAGTTAATTTACTGATGTTAGGTGAAGTATTTAGCAAACATTCTTACAAAAACTACCATTAGAAATTCCTTCTACAGTGACATAGGAGAAAACAGGAAAAGAATCCCAAACTGACATTTTAAAAATTGCTTATGCCAAAGTGTGTGAAAATGTACATAATTGCTATGTACTACCTTAGCTTCTGCTTTTAGCCATCTTGTTTGAAAATCTGGACACTGTGGTGTCGCGGCATGGCTGGGCAGAGGCTTTGTTTCTGGTGACCTGGGTAACACTGTACTGTTTGCTTTGGAAGAGACCGTCACTTCAGGAGTGCAGAACACAAGTACCATAGGAGAAGCCATCCAGTCAGCGGCTAGTAGTAAGGGTGAGTGAAATAGAGAGAAAAATGTATACATACACACATATACGTAAATAGTTCCAGTTCCAGTTTCATTTTCTATTAGCTTTTCATAGATTTGCATATTTTAAACCACATGCAGGTCACATTTATTTGATCCCTCCAAATGACACTATTCCTTAAAACCAGCAAATGCAAAAAAAAAAAAAAAAAGTAATCAATCTAGTGCCATTACTGAATATAACTGAAAAAAACTCAGTTTAACTCAACGTTGCTTTACCTTCTCATTTATTCAGTTGTCACTAAGTTTGTCCCAAGATTGCCAGTTTTTTAAAAAGAGCATGTTATTTCTCCTCTCAAAGAATTTTTAGCATTACTCTTGAAAGACTTCAATTACTGCCTCACTCCTCTCTCAGAGGAGTTTCTTTCCTGTCTTTAAACAGATCTATTGGGTATTCTCAGAAGAAAAAAGAGCTAAGTTGGCAAAACAGTATTTTTATTTCAAACACGGATAAGATGCAGTTATGAAATGATTAATCCTGCTGCATAATTCCAGTTGGAGATGAGTATAAGAATGAGCAAGGTTTTCTATCAAAGTGAGAAACTTTCCCATAGAAGTCACCAGCATTTCAGTTTTTAGGCATTAGTACTCATACAAGGACTGGGCCTGAATTAACTGCACTTAACAAGTAACACAGTTTCAGTTTACCACGTGTTTACAATGCATTCACACAGGCATTATGTAGAAAATGCATATGTCTGTCTGTTTCACACATTTCTAACTCACCATTCTTTGTTCTCATGTTAGATTTCAGCGCAGGAGTGACGATGACTTCCCTGGGTGTCATTTCTGGTACATTTCCTCCGTTATCATCGTTTTTAACCAACCTGAAAACCAAACCCATCAATTAGCTCTCAAGTAATATGAGGAAGCCATAATTAAAGGAATAATGTCAACCTGATCGCTTTTCTAGTATTCATTCATCAGTATGCAAAGTAAAAAAAATTAGTTCTCTCAAAGATGAATTTTTTCCATAGATTTTTTTGCATCTATAATTCTACTGCAGCAATTTGTAGTATGCAAATGTTCAGTCCCTCCACAAATCACCAAACACACTGAGATTTCAATCCAAGGCATTAAGAGGAAAACAAACCCAAACCAGCCAACAAAAAGGCAGGACAGACGTCCCAGATGATCAATTCTGTGCAAGGGGTACAGTCTATTTCATTCTGAATTGCCTCTTGCCTACAAAGCTCTAAACAACAAGATGATCTCTTTAAAAGGAGAGATCCCAAAATTATTTTAAAACAAAATGTAGCAATTTCAGAGTGAGAAGCCATTTAATATTAATTCCACAGCATTAGAGACTGACGTTTTTAAAACTGTTTTTTCATACCCAAGACATTCTCGTGGAAGAATGACATGTGCAGTGAAGAGACAATACCAGGCAAACAGTGGACATTTACCCAGACCACACACAGAAGCGTGTCCATCAGAAAACAGCAGTATATTTTACTTAGAAGAACACATCTCAAGTGTTGGGTTTAAAAAAAGTAACTTTTCAATTCAGTTTTGCCTCGGAATTATGATTTTTAGTTTTTACAACGAGAAGAACAAGTAGAATTTTTAATGTGGTTTTCATCAATGGAATTCCTGCTTTTTGAACAATTTCTCTAACTATCAAATATTTAGCTACTATCAACTTTTAAAACTGACAGTTAGTTGCTAATACTAACTATAAAAACAAGACCTGTTAACTACCTTTACACTACCTTAGAAGTTTAGAAAAATAATTGTACTGCTAAGGTGTTCTATACCTCACTACTGTATTTATTTTCTTTAATTTTAATCAGAACAATGAAAACCTAGAGATGTCCTTCCAACAGAAGACTGGAGCAAAAAGAGCAACCTGTTTGTAAAAGGTGGGGCTTGGGTAAGAGATAATGCACTTCTTCTACAACAATCTTACTGAATGCTTTATAAGCTGTTTGCTGTGTTTATACTCGTAAAGCTCCTGGTACCTTTAAATTGGCTGTGCAAGATCTACAGCAGACAGCACACCCCTGCATCCAAAACCCAAGGTTAGAGAAAGCAAAAGATCACAGACATACTGTGCATTTATAATCCAAACCCAAGGTTAGAGAAAGCGAAAGATCACAGACATACTGTGCATTTATGCTTTGTAATTACATGGGGCATGGAAGGATTCTTCTCGTGGTGCAGTCAAGGGAAGGAGCACATCAGAGATGTATTCCGTGGCAGCGTTTGGCGCTGCAATGGGTACATGAAAAGCATGTAGAGAGTTGAGTAAGGACACAGGACTAAGCAGCTGGTAGATAACAACATATCACCCGCTTGAAGACAAAGAGAAGGGCAATAGTAGCGAGAAATTAGGACAGCAAGAAGACAATACAGAAAACTCATTAGAGAACCAATCTGCTTCAGTAATTTACTTACTTCTTGATTGTCTGAGCAGTTTTATGAATGAGGGACATGGTGTAATCTTCATTCATACACACGGTGTGTTCACTGATGCCAAAATGTTCAAGTTTTGGTGTGACACACTCACAATCATCCATCTTTAGCCTACATTTTGGAGTTCTGGGCAAGGCACGGGGGGTGTGCGTTTGCACGGGAGTCTCATTCTTTGACTTCTGTTGATGTGCTCTTGTTGTGTGCTGTGCTTTCACCGCACTCCAAGGCCTGGAGAAGGCATAGGACGAAAGCCCAAAATCAGCAAGCTGAGGGTTTTGCAGGGGGTCCTTGGGCAGCGGTGGCTTCTCAGTACAAGCAGGAAAATTAGACACATCATTGGCTTTCTCTTCATCAGACCTATTCTGGATAGATGCTGGTGATTCACTGGCAACTTCTTCCTCCTCTTTTTTTGAAGAAAAGCAATGAAAAAAAATCGTGTCAGAAGTTTCTGGTTTAGGAATTTATAGAATAAATTGGGACACCCCCCCAGTATTCAAAATATTTGTTGATTACTGTAAAAATAGATTCCCTCTTTCATTTTCAAGGACTACAACAGGTATCAAAAGCTCACATCAGGCTAAGCCATACTTATGATGCAGGTGACACATTTACCAAATTTCACTCTGCTGGTAAATATTATTTCTAGGAAAAAGCAAAAGGTTTTTACACATGTGTATTTTTTCATAGAATTCATGCATGGAGATGAAAATGTTTTGTGGGCAACGAGTAAAGGCAGCACACACTACTAGAATCATAGAATCAACTGGGTTGGGAAAGACCTCCAAGATCAAGTCCAACCCTACTGTGGGATTACTAGACCATGGCACTAAGTGCCACATCCAGTCTCATCTTGAAATGCTCATTCTTAAAAAACCCAAACCAACAGTATTGAAGTAAGGTTATGTAGCAGCAACTAAAAACTCATGGAAGAAGTTGCTTTTTAGACAACAAGAGTCCACTGCAAAAACACATAAACGTGTATGTTTCTGGAGTCGGACAAACTGAAACCCTTCAAAACATTTGTGAATTTCTGTATGATGTAGTAGAAGTGGAAACGGAGACTATTTAAAGTAAGATACCTTTTTATGTGCATTGGTATTACATATTCAGATACACTTAGCTTGAAAATATTTTTTTAAAGTACAGTAAGGAAGTTACTGTAAAAATCAGAGCCTTCTGCCATATCTTTGTAAAACAGCAGTTGTAGCTTAACTCAGAGGTGAATTTGGTCCATGCCCACAATTCTGTTTTGTGCGATGACAGGATAATCCTCAGGGGAAGGTTAAGGCATGCCCTGCCAAAGGCTTTTTGAAGGCTGAGTGGGCCCTTGGTACCAAAAGGGGCATGTGGAGCACTGAGAGCTGTAGTATTTTAAACTCATTTGGCACGGCTGGATTTTTCAGACAGGTGTGTGTGTGCATTTTCTGACTGGATTAAGGATCTCCCTCCCCTACAACAATCAAGATACTACAGCTTATCACATGTCCCCTAATCCCTGCATGTACTCCTCTTGTCCCATTTGTGCTGTGGAACACAGTATTGTAAGATTTTTCTCTGTGGTGGTTTAAGTTAATGGAACCATCACATACATATACAAATCAGCTGAGGTACATCTACAATAGCTTCTAATGCATGAGAAGCTGAAGTAACGTAACTCTCTGGGCTACAAAAATCTTTGTAACATGTTTTCTGAATATAATTATCACTTTAAAAAAAATCCAACACACAATAATATAAAAGCATGCCAGGAGATTTAACTCCAAGTGTTCATGTTTTGGTTTATCCTTATGGCACCAATCAGAACAAAATATTTTACCCTCTGGGTATTATTACAAAGCAAATAACATTCCTGTGAGGGTGGTGAGACACTGGAACAGGTTGCCCAGGGAGGCTGTGGATGTCCCAACCCTGGCAGTGTTCAAAGCCAGGTTGGATGAAGCCTTGAGCAACCTGGTCTACTGAGTGGTGTCCCTGTCCATGGCAGGGAGGGTTGGGACTAGATGATCTGTAAGGTCCATTCCAACCCCTAAAATTCTATGATTCTGTGAACATAGATGTACTTGATCTCTTAATTAACAGAGATATACACATAGCTAAAGAGAAATGTTTTATAAAATTGTATTTGTCTTCACAAAATGCATTGCCAAGAAATGTTACCTGCAGAGCTCTGAAGAGGTAGCTTGCAGCCATATTTCTGGAACACGTCTCTTATTTTTTCAAGATCTGATGCATTTCTTTGCATCAATATTTCACTTTTCTTCATGAACTCATTAACTGCATGTTTTTCAGAGCAACTTTTACCAAGACTGGCATTAAGATCTTCCTTTGGGGACAGAAAGGAAACAGGAATATTGGTTTACAAATCACCACACGGTAGTTGTTTACACATGGAGTATTTTGGGAATAAGCATTCAACTTCAATTTGGATGAAAACAAGTAGCCAATTTAGGTCCTATCTACACCTGAAAACTATCAGGTATATATACTTACAAAATATCAGGAATATATATAGAACATGAGTGCATAAATCTTACAAAAGTTGAACTGTGATGACAGTTCATACTTACTGGTAGCCTCTCAAACAAAAATATATGCTTTTACTCCATAAAAAGCAATTAGTTTGGACTCTTACTCCACATGTACAAACAATTAGTACAGAGCAGATAGCAAACCTCAGGTTCATGTCCTAGCTTGTCCCCCAGTTATTTCTATGCTTGCTCATTTCTATCACCCATTTTTCCTACTTCTATTAAGGTACCATGAGAACTTTCTTCATGAGTTTAACTGAATGGCTGAAGGTATTGAAACTTCTGTAAAGACTGGCTGGTCATTGTACACAATATTACCTCTTCCATTGGGAGCTGCTGCTCCTGAATCCTTCACCTCACACCTACACCTTGGCCCAGCTACAAATTCCCTTTTCCCTTTGTCTTCTGCTGACCTGAGTGACAATAGTGACTGCAAACTAGTAAACATTGCTAAAGCTACTTTGAGTCACACACACATTTCTGGGTGCTACCCCAGTATCCACAGCCATTATGAAGACTCAGGAGGGAAGTGAACCCAAAAAAAAAAATCACAGCTGCTGAATAACAAAGCTGTATTGTGGTTTAATGATCAAAATAGAACCATAAGTTTATGGAAACCCTCCCACACCTCCCAATTTTTCAAGAAGGAAATGAGTTCAGATGTTACCTTCAGAGTACTGATTTCACAATGCAGGTCACACAAGGCTCTTGCTGAAGATTCATCTTCATAGTCTTTGATATGCATGTTCACATAAAGGGGTTTGGAAAGAAAAAATGCGTCTTAGAGTTTTACCATGCTAGTTAGCACGTGAGAGGCTAGACATGAGCTGGCAATGTGCACTCGCAGCCCAGAAAGCCAACTGTGTCCAAGCTGCGTAGGCAGCAGGTCGAGGGAGAGGATTCTACCCCTCTACTCTGCCCTCATTAGACCCCACCTGGACTACTGCATCCAGCTCTGGGGTCTTCAGCACAGGCAGGATGTGGACCTGTTGGAGTGAGTCCAGAGGAGACCACCAAGATGATTAGAGAGATGAGGAAAGGCTGAGAATTGGGTTTCAGCCTAGAAAAGAGATGGCTTAGCCAACTGTGGCCTTCCAGTACCTAAAGCAGCCTACAAGAAAGCTGGAGAGGGATTTTTAACAAGAGCCTGTAGTGACAGGACAAGTGGGAATGGCCTCAAACTGAAAGAGAGTAGGTTTAGATTAGATATTAGGAGGAAGCTTTTTGCTGTGAGGGTGGTGAAGCACTAGAACAGGTTGCCCAGAGAAGCTGTGGATGCCTCATCCCTGGAGGTGTTCAAGTCCAGGTTGGATGGAGCTCTGAGCAACCTGGTCTAGTGGAAGGTGTCCCTGTCCATGGCAGGGTTGGAACAAGATGATTGTTAAGGTCCCTTCCAACCCAACCCATCCTATGATATTAGAGATGTTGGAGCTGTATGTTAGAGGAAGAGAGCCCAGACAGAGAAAACCAAAAAGAACTAGTTCCTGTTGGATACCCTGCACAGCAAGAGGCTGTTATTAGCACAGTGTGCTAAACTCCACAGAGAAACTGCACAGACTTCCATTTTAATGCTGCAGATAATACTGCAGAAATCAATGCATGGCAGATGTTGACACAATAGGAAGGTCCCTGGGCTATCGAGAATTATTTATGCTAAAGTTTTATCCTTAAAGAGCTTGAATGTGAAAGGATAACAAAGAAATTGACAAAAGCGATATGGACACCACTGAAAACCAGCA